GGACTGGACGCTGGTAGCACAGTGATCGGACGCCCGATCAAGAGGCTCGGCACAGAAGGACATCGAATCCGACGACAGATCGACCGGGGACGAGAGTTCGAGTAGCTGACGAAAAATGCGATAGAGATAGCAACACACTAGCAAAACCATAATTGCACATTTAGATAGTTTATCTTTTATATATGTTTTGCTAAGGTTAGAAAAAGAGACTATAGTTTAGAGTTAGATTTTTAAGTTGTCTAATTCAACCCCCTCTTAGGCATCACGGTCCTCTTCACTCCTGTTCTCCAGCGGTCACGAACTCCACCAACTCGTTCTCTACATGCATGCAATGATGATGCAACACTTAATATTTTGACAACAACAACTCTTAAAATAAGAATACACATGCTAAGTTACTAAGCTCGCTCTAATGACTTAGGTACTAAGCTAATCGTTATCTCTACCAAATAGATTTTAAAGCTCACCCTACAAGTGCTTATTTTTTATAAACCAATATCATGTCATTATTTATTTAGCCTTAATGGGTATTTAGCTACCATATTAAATAGTCTATTTTAGGGCTACAAGAATTACAGCAAGAACCTAATAATACAATGAAGCTACTATAAAATTTTTAGGGTTTTTGCTATCACCAATCTACCACAAAAATTCTTACAATAATTATCCTAATAATATTAAGCACTCTCAAATAATTTAATATCTTCTGGTATCAACATGTATATATATGAACTAAATACACTAACAGATAGAACATAATTTTAGGAACCTAACAAAATTAGTTTCACGATTTTTGGATATCTTATTTTATATTAATTACCAAAATTCAGCTCAGAATTAAAATAAAAAGCTATTTCTATTTTTTACAAAAAAAAGATAAACCGATTTCGGCCCAACACGGCTCATGCGGGGCAGGGCCCATGTGCAGAGGCGGCCCGTGGCGGGGAGCGCGCACGCATGCTGGCACTCTTGCAAAAACGCCATCATGTTATTAGACAATAGCGCGAACACTACACGTACTATTTCGATAGACAGCGACTTTGCAACGGAACCCTTGCACTTTCTCCTCTTTACAACTGCATGGTCTATGACCTCCCCCGCGCGCTTCAGAGTGGCGAGCGGTGGCACTAACGACAATGCCGGCCACCCAGGACCCATGCTAACCTAGATAAGTGGCCGAATCTCACATAGGGGTCGACGCGAGACGATGGGCGGCGGTTGCACGAGCCGGGACGCCATAGAAGGACCTCTCCACGACGGCGGGCACCCTACGGCAATGGCGACGACGTTCTGGTGAGCCACAGCAACAACAAGGCAGTAGGAGTAGTGGGTGAGCAACGACGACTCACCAGTGACCTTATCGAGATGTCGGCTCGGTCGAAGATGACCCGAGCGAGGCTGGCCACGTGTGCGCTGCGAGGTGAACGGTGGACCATAGCGAGGAGGCAGCACTAGAGCTACGACTAGTGTGCGCATGACGAAGAAGGGTTCTATGTGGGGCTAGTGGTGCGGTCAATTTGACGCGAGATGGCAAGGTTGGAGCTAGCCACAATGAGGCGGGCTGGGCCTTAATGGCTCGGCGGCGGGAGCAAAACTCCAAAATTGGAGCTCGGCCTGGCCATAATCAAGGCAGGGGTAGGGCGGATGGAGAGGGGACGTGAAGATAGAGACGCGAGCACGAAGAATTGATGAGAGGTGCTCGCTCTCTGGCTCACTGTGACGCGACTCGTTGGCGGCGGAAAGCAGAGAGAAGAGAGGAAGAGAGAAACAGCGCGACAGGTGGGCTCGGCTCGTCCTCGCCTTGGCGGGACACGAGCGGCGAGATCAGGAGGCCCACGCGCCGACGCTAGCCGACAGGCGTGCGCGTGTCCGACCGCCGTGGCCCGCACGGCCGCAGTGTCATAAATGACATGGCGACGACGACTCGGCCATGTGCGTGCGGCAGCGACGGCCTTGAACTAGGCCGACAGCGGCACAGGGTTACAGTGGATAGGCGTGGACGCGACGATGATGCGACGACAGCGGTAGCACCAATGGTGGCAGCACGAGGCTGGGCAGCAGGGCACGGGGCCAGCGGCTCGCTGCGGCCGGCCTCGACCAAGCCCAGGCGGTCCGACCGGCCGAGCGCGGCGACACGGGGTGACCGCGCACACAGCGCCAACCAACCGGAGACAAGTACGCGCACAAATTTTAAAGCATCTAACACGACTAAACGATTGCTCCAGGAGCCAAACTAGCTTCACCATGCTCAAGACGGCACATGAGACTATCAAATCGAGCTATAACACTACACCACTCTATAACCCAATCGCTCATAATAAATTGCTAAACATAGCAATGTCTAGCTGTTGGCAGACTTGGAAATTTCTAAGTTTTTGAGTTGGATTTATTTTCAAGTTCTGTTTCTAAACTATTAGAAATACTAGCTAGTAACATTATTTTTCTACAGCAAGTATTTCACTATCATCTACAAAGTTTGTACTTCCAAATTTATTTAAGTGCCACATACATATTCTATAGTATTTTTATTCAATAAAAAATAGTTTTAAACCCTACTTGATAACTGTACAAATCGTGGAGCAACTTCCGTTTAGCATTTTTATTGATCGTTTTGAGTTACAGAAATTGATCTACACACTTTATCACATGCATTAACACATAAACACGATGCTCATGACATGTTGGTGTTACACGTGGCCCTCCCTCTCCTTCGAGCACGGCACGGCAGCCCCTCCCTCTCCTCCGAGCACGGCGCCCCTTCCCTATCCCTCGTGCGTCGGCCACCAGATCCGGCCTCCAACGGTCCACCGCGCGACGGATCTGGCCACCGGAGGCGGTAGGGGCGCAGATCAAGTTACAAGCAGCGATGGGGGTGCGGATCCGACCACCACCGAACAGATCCGGCCATCGGCGGCGCGAATTCTACCACGGGCAACGACGGCGCGTGGTATTGGGCTCGGTGGGTTTTTTTTTATTTCGTGAAGGGCCCGTTCGGTTCGCTGGAAAAACAAGCTGAAACACTGTTCCGGTTGATTTGTTGTGAGAGAAAATACCGTTTCCGCTGAAAAGACAAGCAAAAAAAAGTACGGATTATAAGACAAACGAATATGGCCTAATAGCGTTAACTGAGACGGTTGTCTTACGCCGACCGCCTCGGTTAATCGATTAACCGAGGTGGTTGGCCAACCGTGACATTTGGACCGAGGCGGTTGGCTTGCTCGCCTTGGTTAAACGCTTTTGCCCGCCTTGATAAAGTTAGTGCCATGCTCTAGGCCCTGTTCGCTTCTCTTATCAGCCGTATTTTTTCCACGAAGAAACATTATTTTCTCTCACAACAAATTAACGAACACTATTTTTCAGCTTGTCTTTTCAATAAACAGTATTTTTATGCTTGTATGGGACTAAGGGCATTTGTAGACACAGTACATTATGCGAACAATGTTGCGAAAAATGTTGAATGACAAATGTCTTTCAAAGAGAAAAAGGCGATGATTATTTTTTCTAAAGAAAATAACTGATGTTTTGCAGGAAAGGGATCCACGCACCTGACTTGACATCCTTCGTGTTATTTCGAACGTTGAAGCATCGTTATTCCGTGTTTTTTTTTGTAATAACAAAGTGCAATCCAACGTTTCTTACTTTGAATGGCATACGGCCATAGTATCTTGGAGGTTTGTACACGTCACATTTCACCTATTTTTCACATCTTTTACCTAAGGTTTATTAATGGAACTGATAAGGAACTTAGAAGGTGATATTTTTTTTTGGGGGGTGTTGTGTTCCTTTTGTTCAACCCAAATGTTTGTAATGTCTTTGCTAAAAAAGAAGAGCATGGTCTCGCTACAGTACGCGAAGATGCCGGAGCCCGCTAAGTAAAAAATAGTAACTTTCACCTGCTCCTAGTTTGTTTTTAGAGGACAGAGAAAAACGGTTTCTCACTGCAGGGCACGAAGGAGCTAGATCCGAACTCCATAGAGATCTTTAGAAAAAAAATGTACAAATCTACTAATAATTCAATCTTATCATATTGATTATCGGTTCTGCCAAACATATTCGGATCAATTGTTGCAACTTAGGGCGTGTTTGGATGCCTTGCCCTGGCTTGCTTTGCTCAGTTAGGTAAGAGACACAGTTTGGTTGACTTGCTTGCCACCTCATTCCTGCATTTTCTAGGATTTATCATCGCAATGTGATCGAGTTGAAACTACTCTTGGTAACAAGAACGGTCACATGCACAAATGTGTAAGAGAGGCTAGGAATTTTGTTAATTCCATCTTGTTAAAAAATTAACAAAAACCTTTGAAGGCCTTGTTTGATGCATGTGTATCCACCTCGATCCAATATGTTGGAGCGGAATGGAATGAAATTTAGTTTAATTCCACTCCAATCCACTTCAACATATGTGAATTAATATGAATACATGCGCATCCAAACAAAGCCTAAATGTCTAGCAATAGCCTCGCAACACATGATGATTTTATTAAAAGAAAAAAAAAGAAAAGTCGTATTGCATTTTCTAAAACGTTGATGGTTTGGGCTTTAGGTTAGGCTAAAAACATACAATGACATGGATTGGACAACGGGCTGACTTTACGGTCCGAAAGGCCACGAACTCACTGGGCCGCAAGCCAGCGATTACTGTTGGTCTCACACGGTTTTACTGTCCCCAACCCGAACTCGGACGGAGCCCACAGTCGAAACAAGATCCAGCCACCCATTTTGCAAACCGCCATGACTTGCACGAATCTCACAGCAGCGCTCACGCTTCCCCGTCTCCTCCCGCCGCGGCGACGCCAGTACACTACCCCGAGTCACCGACCTGCCACACCAGTGACACACCGGGTCCACAGCCACCTGTCCGCATTGCGTCACCTCGCCGTCCCTTCTTCCAGAGTCCCTCTATAGAAGCGCCTCCACGACCGCCCTCCTCGCAGAAACAACGTCCCAGGAGCACGAGCGCACCCCCTCCGCCGACTCGCCGGGGAGAGGGGGACGGAGCGATGGACCAGACGGGGTCGGGGCTGCACAAGCGGATGGAGGCGCTGTCGCTGCAGGCGAGCGCTCTGCGGGAGGCCTTGCAGCGGAGCGAGGAGAACACGGACAGCGCGGTCGCCGCCCTCGACTCGTTCGACCGCCACGTCTCCGCGATCGAGGCCTCCATCCGCCCCGCCCAGGTTCGGCCACCCTCCGTGTTCATTCCCGTTCGGCGAGGACGCGTACGGAGAGATGACCCGTGTCTGATTCCGCCGCCGTGTCGCAGGTGAGGGCGCAGGCCAGCACGATGGCGAACGAGAACATCGACAGGACCATCGAGACCGCCGAGGCCATCCTCGCGCAGTTCGAGATCGTCCGCCGGGTGAGAAACTGCTCCCATCTGAACCCCTAGCGAACTGGGGTGGTGTTTTGGGTTTGATTGTTGTATTGGATGACTTTGGATGGGATTCAAGGCGCCAAAATCTGCATTCAATGCTCACGGACTCGTTTTGGTGCATGCCTCACGGACTAGTTTTGGTGCATGCCTCATCAATTATAAAATTCTGAAGCCATTAGGGCGTGTTTGCAAGGGTGGCCCGTGGGCCTGGCTGCGCCCCCGGGAGCCCATTCTGGTGTTTGGTGGCGTTTTCTCCTCCCTCAGCCTGGCCTACACGCGTGCAAATTCTACTCTCTCTCATGGCCCTCAGGAAATGGTGAAATCGGTCGTTTTTTGGGAGCCTGGCCCGATGGAGCGACGGGCGAGTCATTGGGGGCGATTTGGATCACCTCCTGCCTCTCACCTTGACAGATTGCATTCAATTTTACAAGCACAACAAACACGATCTCAATCGAGCTCGGCTCTGTTGAGCCACGATGACAAACACGAGCACTTGCACCATTTGGACCGGACTAAGGGTGGCCAGGCCATGGCCAGCCGGCCAGGCCGGCGAGGTACACCCTCGCAAACGCGCCCTAAAGGTCCATAGATGGGTTGTACTGTCAGCAATCGGGGAAGGGAAAGAGGAATCGGAGCAGGGCGAGGCAGCAGAGCAGGAAGGATAGGAGGAAGACGAATCTTAGTTTGCAGTTTCGGAATATTTGGTTACAATCATCATACCCCTCTCAGTGGCCGAGGCCAACACATATATGAGAAAGCCACTCACGCACGCACCCGCTACACTTACTAGGCTCACTCATTCACCCATTGCGGCCCAAACACCCGAGCGCTCTTCATCTTGGCCCGATCAGGTCTTCCTTCCGCCGAGCCCGGCACAGAAGACTCCAGTTGCTCATGAGGCACGGAGGACTGGACCTCGGTCCTGACATGTACGCTGACGATTCTGTATGTGAATGCTCATATTGTTGCCATATTGGTTTAGTTGCAATCGGTTGTTGTGATGTCAAGAATACAACCAATGATTGATGATTAGCTTATTACTCTTGTTAGTTCATTGCTTCATCGAATTCTTCTGCAGATGTTATACTTAGTATCTTCGCACTGTTAGATTACTAGAGGATCTATCCATATTGGTGTAGTTGCAAAGTGCCGGTTGGGTTTCATGTTGTAAGATTAGCATTGATAGTTATTGATCGGCTTCTGTGCTTTTGCTAGTTCAGTACTTCATCACTTTCTCCAGAAGATGTTATAATGGCTATTCACTTTCTCCAGCAGATGTTATAGTGGGTATCTATCTTCGGCACTCTTAGATCATTAACGATTTATCCAAACAGTGCATTCATTACTATTTCTTATGAACATGCTGATTATTTTTTATATATTTTTGCGCCATTAAATTTTTTTGTAATGTTGTCAGTTTTTTTTACTTATAGTATGTCAGTATGGTTTGAGCATAAGGTTTAGTCTGTTCACTTAATTAATGTGATCTGTGTTTTTGAGCTTTAGGCTGAAGCTGTGATATTTAGGGGTCCACATGAGGACTTACAGGTAAAATTTACATGTACTTTGTTGAAGAGTCATCCACTTCTTTTCCTTGAACAAGAACTTTAATGTCTCTGCTTCTGAACCAAGTTCATTGTTGATCCGTATAATTGGTAGGGCATTACGTCCTGAATTTCCTAGAGGTCTTCCAGTAATAATTTATCAATTATTTTGATGGCTGTTCAAATGTAAACTATTGCATCTCTTTTTTCAGCAAAGCTAGTGAGCCCGCACTTCTACTTGACTGCCTTCCAAAGCTGCCATTGACATCAGAAGGGAACTCTGAATCAGTTGGAGAGCAACTATCCAAAAGCTTTGAAAGTGCTACATACAGGACTCCAATACTAATTCCCCCAAGAATATTACCACTTCTGCATGATATAGCTCATCAGTTGGTTCAGTATGGAAATCAACAGTCGTGCTATAGAATTTACAGGTAGGTTTCTTGACTTGGATGTAGCATCTAGCTGTTCTGATTATTTACACACAGATCACAATATGATAATGTGTCCAGGTTGTTTGTGGATATCTGGCCAATGAGTATTGAGAGTAAATGAATTGATGGAAATACATCGATAGCGACAAAATATGCAAGCAATGTGGCACACCTAGTCAGGTCTTGGTCAGCAGCTTACACTGTATGACAAAAAATTGTTGGAGCTTGGAATCGCCTTACCTACTGAGTAACTTAATTTTTGTCAGTTCGAGCATCTTTGATTTGGAAACATTTATGAATGCCATGCAGTATGAATGACCATTACTTTTCCTTCTCTACTTCTATCATCATTCTTTCCTGATTTTTAACTGTGTGATCTACAGAATCATGCTTGGATTTGTTTCTTTTATCAGAGATGCTCGCAGCTCAGCGTTAGAATTGAGTCTTCAAAAACTGGGCATAGAAAAGCTAACTGAAGATAAGATGCAGCACTGGGTGTCCTCAAATGTTGGAACCTGGACTCATATTATGCATATTACAGTAAGGATGCTTCTAAAATTATGATTGTGTTGTATGTGTTTAGACATCAAACTAATAAACTATGCTTAAATCAGGTTAAAGTATTACTGGCTGGAGAGAAAAATTTGTGATCAAATTTTCGATGGTATCACTTTCAACAAGGATCAATGTTTTGCTGAAGTGGCAGGAAGCAGTGTTATGACTCTTCTCGGCTTTGGTGATGTTGTTGCTAAAAGTAAAAGATCTCATGAAAATTTGTTTCTACTGCTGGAGATGTATGGATTAATGCACAGACTTCAGTCAGGGGTATGTGGAGATAATGCATTCAGCACTTCTCATCACAAGGATCATTTGTTTGTGTCCATACATACATTACGTTTTACATCAAGTTTTGGCCAGTCGTTATGATGGTTATTACTGGCCATAAAACTATATAAGTTGCAAATTATGATTGCTTGCAAGTTACAGTTGCTGTTGTCTTTAATTGTCTTGTCATCAACTTCAACAATGTTGATTGTTAGAACTAGAAAAAAATTACTATCATCTTCATCTTTTTTTGAACTTATTACCAGGTTGAAGTGACTTTTCAAGGAAATTTTTGCTCTGGGATGCGGGAGGCTGCATTAAACCTGACTAAGAGCTTGGCGCAGTCTGCCCAAGAAACTCTGCTTGATTTGGAGGTGGCAGTTGAAAAGGAAAATTCGAAGACTATCGTACAGAATGGAAATCTCCATCCTTTTACAATCGAAGTGATGAATTATGTGAAAGGCCTATTTGAGTTAGTACAACCCTTTCCATCTTGTTATACATTCCTGACAAATGAGTATTAGTATAAGCTCTTCATCCAAACCAAAGAGATTTATAAATCCATCTCCTTTGGTCTTGAGTTGTCTTATGAGTATGCCTTTTCTTCCATCTGGAAAACTCAATATTGTTTCTTATGGTTGCATTGTAAACATGCGTGAGGATTGTAATACCTGTTGATGCTGAGGTGGTTAATGACCATTGACAATCCATTGTGCTCCATCGTTTTATTTTTTTTCCAAAGTCTCCCGAAGCATTTGGGAGTCTACTGGCGGTTTGGCACAATTTCTTGAGTCTCAACCTGCTAGTAATAGTGTTTTTCCAGGTTTACAGCTTCACTTGCTCTCTACGATTGCCTTGCTTTACTTGACAAATCCGAGGCAGTATCTGTTATGCTTGCTATAAATAATGATGATTTTTTTTATTTAAGCGTGGTTTGATTTTTCGGTTACCTTTCTCCCATCCACACTAACATATCTTTATTCTCATTTGAACAGTTACCAATCAACACTGAAAATACTATTTCAGCAACCTCAAAGTGGTAGTGAGACTGAATCTCAACTTGCGATTATAACCATGATGATTATGCAGGCTTTTCAGAATAACTTGAATGGGAAATCTAAGCAGTACAAGGATCCTGGATTGTCTCACATATTTCTTATGAACAACCTTCACTATATGGTTATGTTTGTTCGCAGGTATGTCTCTTTTGTGCTTCAGATCCACATCCACAGATGTCTTGGCAGTGTCCTTGTTCAATAATTTGTTATGTCTCACCTCAGATCAGAATCCAATGATATACTTGGTGGTGACTGGATTCAGAGGCACCGTAAGATTGTGCAGCAAAACGCTAATCAGTACAAGAGGGTAGCATGGGCAAAGGTCAGTGCATCGTCGGCAATAGGATGTATTCTTTTCTATTTTACTACTTGGTGTTAAAGCTTATCATCTTTTTGCACCTTTTAGCCATAATATTTTGTTGTACATCATGGACCTCTACCTGTTTCACTGTTGGAGATCTATAAAATACGGTGATTTACATGCTGCACTCTAGTGGTAGCTGATGAAAAATTCAGTTGTTATTTTTTCCCTGATAGAATGCACTAAGAGCCAAGGTTTAGAATTCAACCACAGGTTATCCTCTATAAATTTTGGATTCAGGTTTCTATTGGATTCCCAGGTTTAAATGTACTTGCGATCTACATATCCCATCATGAATTTAGTTCCATTTCTGGAGTAAACTTTTTTGTGTGATGAGAAGAAGACATACTTTTTACTGTGCACTTTCCCTTGCCTAGCACGCTTTACATTTCTGGAGTTAAGATTTTCTTTCTCCTGTATGTGCATTATAGGAAATACTGAACAGATCAGCATCCTGTTATAACTATTTCACCCTTGCTTAGCATGCTTTATGTTCAAGTCCCTGTAGGTTAGATGGTTTAAAATTTTATTTCTTGTCTATGTGCACGATTGGAAATATTTTTGTATAGAATCACATCCTGTTAAAACTACTCCGCTTCTATGATTTTAGATTTTCCAGACACTCTCCGTCCAAGTCACAGGTGGCAATAGTTCGTCATCACCATCTGATGTTAGCAGCACTGGAGTTTCAAGGACTATGATCAAAGAACAGTCTGTACAATGGCATATTCTCTGTAACATGGTAACCTTTTTTTTAATGAAATAAATATAAAAAAAATAAGGAAATTGTATGCTCCCTTGGCAGGTTCAAGTCCTTCAATATGCAATTTGAAGATCTTCATGCAAAGCAGTCTCAATGGACTATTCCTGATCAGGAATTGCGAGATGAACTGAGGCTTGCTGTGGCTGTAGTTCTCTTGCCAGCATATAGGTCTTTCATTAGCCGTTTTGGGTATGTGAAGTAATCTTCTTTATCCGCTCGGGATGCCTCACAATTTCTCCATTCAATTAATTGTTTACAGTTAATAATTATTCAGTTATACAAACTGCAGTAAAAAAAAGTGGTGTTCTGAAATGCATGCAGCCAAACTCTAAATAGTCCAAAATATACAAGTACTCAGATTTCTCACATGAAAAATGTTATTAGCAATGGTAGAAAGTGTGCTTGTGATGTCACGTCAGTGTCTTAAATGGCAAATTAAAGATCTGCTAGTGCTAGGGATTGTTGTGTTTTACCTCAAATGTTAATGAGGCGTAAGAAAATTATGGATGCACCACCATCTTGTTCCAATTTTCAGTCTATTTAATTCAGTGATTAACTGACAAATGCCAAAATATGGGGGCCAATCATCAATTTCCAGATGAACATTGAACTCTATGTACCTGTTTTCCTTCTCATTATATTGTATAATTTCTGAGTAATCAACTGTTTCATAGACACAATCGCACTGGCTTTCATCTTGTTTTATTACATGACTGTAGCACTGTTTTTAACTTTCAGGAATCTTATTCAACGTGGGAGGAACCCTCATAAGTACATCAAATACTCACCAGAAGAATTGGATCAAATGTTGGGTCAGTTCTTCCTAGGACAGTAGAAGCGTTTAAAACAGAGCAGTAGAGGTATAGAGGAAACGGCCTTGTCTAAGTAAAGTTTTGTACCGCAGCTTATGTCAAATATTTTTACAGCAGGAACTAACTACTTTTTTGTTTGCATCGCCCGTAAATGGTACTGAACTATTGATGTAGCCTAACTGTGACTCCTCTGCAACACCTGTATCGCAAAGGTCTGATGTTCTTTCATTACTTGGCTGATGAGTAGCCTTCCATGTTATCGTTTGAGAAGACATTTATTGACATATATGCAGCCTCAGGAGTCAGGATCCTTTTCCCGATTTCAGTTTGTGGAGTTAATAATTTTCTGGTTAATTATATGTTGTCTTTGCTCATGCTGTTGATCTTCATACCGGGTCTCTGTTTCCGGCAACTTTTAGTGGACTACTGGATTAGGATGTTTGAAGTCTCACGCAGCGTAGGGGTTTTGGTCCTTTTTTTTTTGCGCGTGTCTTGCATTTGTTGAGCTGCAATTGTTGCAGTTACTTTTTGTGGGTTCCTTCATCTCTAGTATGTAAATTTATACTACAGTGCAGTGCGTAATGGTAGGTTAGGAAATCTTGGTCCGTTCAGGGAGTAAATTGAGTCAACATGAGGGTGTTAAACGGACAAAGTTAATAGTTAAGGGTAGTAAAATGGACTTTTTCCCCTTTCAAATAAACTAGTACATTCGATTGCATTTTATGCATAATCTGGAATAGCAGGCGTGCTAGAAAAATGAATAAATCATAGAAATTTCTCACAAAAAAACATCCCGTCATCAATTCGGTAGATTTAAATCATTATCAACAAGAATAATACTCCCTCCATGTTTAAATGTACGGACTATTTGTGCTACACATACGAAAGATGTTCATTTTGGTTAAATCAATTTGTGGTAACACGATTCTTTAAGCTTCCGCGAATTATTTTAGTTTACAACAAACACTCAGATGATGTGATGATATGTGTCCACGTAGGATAAACCCGGAGTGGATTCATGTCAGGGAGGTAAAATAGCTTGTTTCAAAGTTGAGGGGGGCATCTGGAAAAGCTTCCAATCTGAATGGCCGGACGGGAGTCGCACGCCGAACGGAGAAAACGCGCGAACCGAATTTTCCCACGCGCTGCGTACGAGCGAGTGTGGCTTGGGCGTGGGATTTCCGACTCGCCGAGTTAGGTACGCTTGTTTTCATATATCATACGTATGTTTTCTTCCTCTTTTTCTTTTCTTTTCTTTTTCTTTTCTTTTCTTTTGTCTTTTTATGTTTCTTTTATTTCTTTTTTCTTTACTTTTATTTCCTTTTCTTATTATTTTTATTTCCTTTCTTCAAATTTTTTATTTTTGTTTATTTTTCTTTTCATGTGATTTTTCATTATTCTTGTCATTTTTATATTATTATTTATTTTATTTATTTTTTGGTTTTACTATAATTAATTACTTTATTTGCTTTATTTTATTTTATTTTTATATTTTATTATTTTTTGTATATCTTTGTTTTTCCTTTTCTCTTTTGTCTTTATATTTTCTATAATTTTTTATTTTTTATTTTCAAATTTACCTTACTTAATTATTTTTTCATGTTCAATTTTTTATTTTCTATATTTCATGAGATGCTATGCTCATGTAGTATAGATGTGATGTTCTATAATATTTTTTGTGATGTTCACCTGATATATAATGTCATGTTCTGTGATGTTTTTTGTGACGTTCTATGATTTTTTGTGATCACGTGTTATATATGTGATGCTCTATGATTTTTTATGTTCACGTGGTATATATATGATGTTGTATGATGTATTTTGTGATGTTCGCGTATTATACATGTGATGTTCACGTAGTATACATATGATGTTCTATAATGTTTTATGTGATGTTCACGTAGTATACATGTGAAGTTCTATTATATTTTTTTGTGATGTTCACTTAGTATACACGTGTTATACATGTTTTTGATTCATGTTTTTTATTTTTTTTATCTTTCTTTAGTTTTTTATTTTTTGTCTTTGCGTGCATCATTCCTTTTTCTTTTTATGTTTTATGTGTTTATTATTATTTATATTTTTTATATTTTATATTTTTTTACTTTTCTTTTATTTACTTTTTAATTATTTTTATGATGTTCTATGTTGTTTTTTGATGTTCATATAGTATACATGTGATGTTTTTATTTTTTTATGTTCACGTGTTATACATGTGATGTTTTTTTATGTTTACGTGGTATACATGTAATGTTTTATGATATATTTTACGATGTTTGACGTAATCTACATGTGATGTTCTCGTAGTATACATATGATGTTCTATGGTGTTTTTTATGTTCACACATTATACATGTTATGTTCTATGATATATTTAGTGATGTTCACGTAATATATATGCGACGTTCTATAATATATTTAGTGATATTCTAATGCGTATTTAGTGATGTTCACTTATTATACATGTGATGTTCTACGATGTATTTAGTGATGCTCACGTAATACATATGCGATGTTTTATAATGTATTTTGTGATGTTCACTGATGTTTTTTTTTATATTCACTTAGTATACATGTGATATTCTATAGTCTATTTTAGGATGTTTAAAAATTATCCATGTGATATTCTTTTTAATTTTTTCTTTATTACATTTTTTTTATTTTTTTCCTTATGCTTTGGTCCATATTTTATTTTTTATTTATGTTATGTTATGTTATTTATTTATTTTTATGTATATTGTAATACCAATATCATGCATCTAAAACTAGAACATTGTTCTTCTAAACCGAGAACATTTTTCTTACGAAGACGGAACATTATTATCTGAACCTAAAATATTATCTCTGCTTAATAAAAAATGTTTTACCTTAATAAGATAAATGTTTGTCAATAAAAATTTATTTAAATATATTCATGTGGGATCTTGTTTTGAATGATTTATTACAAGAAACATGATGGTGTAATCGGAATTTAATTTGAATATTTGGTTTAGTAGTTATAACTTTTTTAGTTGTAAAGATGAATGACGCCACTTCACTAGTAGATAAACGACCTTTGATTCACTTCAAATTTAGGCTGTAGTCCTGGTATTTTTCGCGCCCGGGACTAGAAAAACCTTTAGTCCCGGTTGGTAGATCCAATCGGGACTAAACGTCCCTGCCCAACGGCTACTGCGCCAGGCTTTTTACTTGGAGGGGATCTTTAGTCCCAGTTGAATCTACCAACCGGGACTAAAGGTTCACTTTTACTCTCGGTTTGTATCTCCAACCGGGAGTAAAAGTCTACTCCCGGCTGGAGGCTCTGTCCGGGACTAGAAAGGGACATTTAGTCCTGGTTTCTATCTACAACCAGGATTAAAGGTCCCCTCCTATATACCCCTTGTTCCTCCCCGAACTCGAGCCACTTCGAGCTCAGTGTTCTTGCTTCATCGCCGGTCTCTCTTCTTCCTCATCACCGGTGATCACAAGATTTTTTTCATTCCTCCATCGATTCTTCGGTTCTAAAGGTTACAAACTTTATACTCTTATATTTTATCAGTAGCTTATTTCATTTTATGGACTAGATATATATGATTTTTTATGGTAGATTTTTTTTTATTTATAAGCCATTTAAGCTCAAAATCATTTTAAAATTTGCATATTTGGATGAAGGAAGGTTAAAGTAGTTATTCAAAACTAGTATTGAGCTTTCATTTCTAGCATGCATAGCCCACTTCATGCTTTAGAGATATAGAGAATTTTAGACTTTTTTTTAATTTTATTTGTTTATAAAATAAGAAATTTATATTATATTAAAAATGAGTATAGAGAGTAGATGGCAACTACTTCTCGGGTCCTCGGCCTCTCATCGGGTTACAAAGCGACTAAGGCTGGACCTCCCTCTTATTGCATGCGGCAAGTGTGAGGAGAAGATTGTGATGGAGTACTGGGTGAGGAAGTAGTGTCCTAACAAGGACCGTATCTTCTACAAGTGTCCGGATCGTAATGTGAGTTATTTTGTCACATTTGATAATTATGGTTAATTTATACTTATTTTCATGATGATTGTGATTAAAGTTTTAATTTTTTATTTTAATTTCAGTGGGATGGCACTGGATGTTCAGGCTGGTACTAGGAGGAAGAGTATGTTGAACACGTGCAAAACTCTCTTGCACAGGCAGTTACGGCGACTGATGAGGCAGTGATCCTGCGGAAGAAGCCCATAGATGTTGAACAAACGCATGATCCGCCTGCTGGAAGTTGCCCATTGGTCATGAAATCCTTGTTGAACAAGTGCATTTTAGCTTTAGTTTTTTTAGTGATAGTTGGAATTGTCTACATTGTAGCGAGACTTTCATAAATTAATACCTTATGTGGTGGCATGCATGTCGTATAATTAACTAATTATGTTCTAGGTTTTAATATGGTATGTATGTCATGTAATGCAGATGAGACGATATTGGATGTACAATGCTGATCGTCGCTCCCAAGAGTTCATTGAGGGCGTGCATTCTTTCTTACGTGTGGCCGAGGCAAACAAACGCGATGGTTTCATGTGCTGCCCATGTGCCATATGTAAGAATTTGAAGGAATATGCTAGCTCAAGGAGTCTTCATTCACACTTGTTGAAGTCGAGTTTCATGTCAAACTATATTTGTTGGATGAAGCACGGAGAAATCGGGGTTGTAATGGAAGAAGCTGAAGAAGAACAATGGGATGATGATGACATTATTGCTGAATATGGGGCCTTCAATGATACTGCAATGGGGGAAGCTGAAGAAGAGGTAGGGGCAGAAGATGAGTCCGCTGATGATCTTGGTCAGGCCATTCGTGACACACAAAGAGAATGCGAAAGTGAAAAGGAGAAGATCAAGTTCGAGCGCATGCTAGAGGATCACAAGAAATTGCTATACCCAACTTGTGATGCGGGGCAGAAAAAGTTGGGTACCACACTAGAATTGCTGCAATGGAAGGCAAAGAATGGTGTATCTGACAAGGGATTTGGGGAGTTACTAAAAATCTAAAAGAATATGCTTCCAAAGGA